CGACAACTGATACACCCTGACAGCAATACCAAACGGAGCACCCTCTGGAAGTACGTTGCCACTACTAATGGCCCACTCTAGAACATATCCTTCCCCCAAGACCCCCACCTCCAAACGCAACAAGAAGCACACTGATACCTCAATAGCTCGTGCACGTGCTGCTGTCTGTCGAGACGTAGTCATAGTTCCGTCATGAATGGTAATGATATAATTAATTCACCATGGTCTGCCATCTTTAATCACGCCTATGTAGCAGAGCAGCGAAGTCCGAATACAGATCATCATATCCTTCTCCCTCCTGGTCAAAGATCTTCTTCACATCAGCAAGAGTCTCATCAGTGCTCTGCTCCTGGGCATTGAGGCGCTTGATGCTCGCCAAGAACTTATCGAAGGTGTCATTAGACAATCTAGAGGATGACCTTATGATAACAACGAGCGGAACTCAGTCATAGTCTACCTGGACCTAGCCATCTTGAAGAAGCTTTTACCATCGACGGCACTAGCACGGCCTCCAGCACTATCTCCGCTCACATCCCTCATAGTACTCTGAAAATGATAGATGATGAATAAAGAAGAGAGGATTCTCACATCTTGGGTCTTCTGCTGCAGCAGGCCAATACCCGATATCGATGAAGTACTGTTATTAACAGGAGAGGTATTGGAGGTTGAGGGCATAGTGTTGGGGAAGGCTCCTGGATTAGAGAGGCCACCGAACTGACTGCCGTTATGCTGATTAGAATTGTTGAAGCTGCCGTATACACTCGCTGAACCCACCGGCTGAGAACACACAGACAATAGCCTGGGAGTCTCCAGACTCTTCTTACAGTAGTGCACATAGGTGGTGGGGCCGCGGAGGCAGCCATAGGGGCGATACCCTGACATTACCATAGGTAATAACCAACAACCAATAGGATTGACTCACTTGAAGGAAGCTCTCTCTCCTGAGGAACCTCGTGTCCGCATACCCATTAGTGTCACCATCGTTCACCCTGGAAAATTCGCTCTGGAAAGAGTCCAAGCCGCCAACTAGGGTCTGCTTGAGTCGTTCGAACTGCTCCAACTGCTGGTTTTGCTAAAAGGGTTAGAACGGGTCCTTAGACCAAGTGTGAACCACATGGAAATAATCTCACGGCCCTCAGGTTT